AGATATATACCTATACATATATAAGCATACATATACACAGATATATAATATATATATAAATATATACACATATATATATATATATATATATATATATATATATATATATATATATATATATATATATATATATATATATATATAAGCATACATATACACAGCATATATAAGCATACATATATATACATATATAAGCATATACATATACATATATATACATATATATACATATACATATATAAGCATACATATACAGATATACATATACAGATATATACATATACATATATAAGCATACATATACACATATACATATACATATATAAGGATACATATACACAGATATATACATATACATATATAAGCATACATATACACAGATATATACATATACATACATAAGCATACATATACACAGATATATACATATACATATATAAGCATACATATACACAGATATATACATATACATATATAAGCATACATATACACAAATATATACATATACATCTATGCACACACACTTATACATGTGATGAGCTGTAATTTTATAAAAGTCAACTATGTCCAAGCCAAATTTGTCAAAATAAATATTATCCAGGCTGTTAGCTTTTAAATATGGGGTCTCTTCTACAGGCACATTATGACCAACGATTCAACATTGGAAGTTATATGACGCAAATGATGTGCAGTTTTTATATAAATGTAAATGTAAATATATATATATATATATATATATATATATATATATATATATATATATATATATATATATATATATATAGTCAAAGCTGTATATAGCAATCAAACAAGGGACTGCCATGTATGACCACTATAGATTATTCGACCACGAGCAAAAATATATATAATATATATATATATTATATATATATATATATATATATATATATATATAATATATATATATATATATATATAAGCAAAAAATATATATTTTGATATCGCCCCCCCAAAAAATAAATTTTGAGTTTTCTTTCACTTTAGGTGCTATTGCCTAACATTTTAGACATTCAAATAATGGCTTTACTAACGATACGGCCACTGTTATATTCAAGTAAGAACGGCCGGCCGAGACGGTTGACCGCTATTGACTAATGTTTAGGTCAATGGGGTAAATCCAAGGGACCGACAAAATTGACCACTTTGGGCAGGTGCCTACAATGCAAACATTACCACTCATGCAGATTTGACTGTATATATTATATATATATATATATATATATATATATATATATATATATGTGTGTGTGTGTGTGTGTGTGTGTGTGTGTGTGTGTGTGTGTGTGTGTGTGTGTGTGTGTGTGTGTGTGTGTGTGTGTGTGTGTGGGCGCGGCACGCCGCGACCATCCCTCAAGTGCGGTACGAAAATTTAATGGATACCTAGGTATGTCTTGAATTTGTGGTTTGCATCATACATATGATAATAGAAACAACAATAGTAGTGTTGGTAATAATAATAACAATAATAAATAATATGTATTATCATCATCATTATTATTATCATCATTATTACTATTTTTATTATTATTACGGTATTACTTCACCTTTGTAATAATTACACGCGTGCACTCATACTCGTAATATTATGGCTAGCCCTAAGCGTAATGTGTACCTTTGTGTCAGTGGAATATGTAGCAGGCTTATACATATATTGCACTCACTGTATAGTTAGTGCACCGTCAAAGCCCAGGCTATGTCATTAGTGCGCCACTAACCAATAAAGATTGAGAACCTCTGGTGTAAATATATAGATACATACATACATACACACACACACACACACACACACACACACACACACACACACACACATATATATATATATATATATATATATATATATATATATATATATATATATATATGTAATGGTATGTATATATTCATATGTATGTATTTATATGTATATAAATATTTGTATATTTTATATACATTTATATCTATATATATATATATATATATATATATATATATATATATATATATATATATATATATATGTATATATTGTAGCGGTTCCTGATTGGCCATCAATCCAGAATCACACCTGACCTGTGATTGGCCGACTCCTGCTTCGGGACCGCCCATACTAGCCGAGCTTACATCGCCAGTCAGGTTCTTAAGCAGCCGGACCTGAGCCGGAGTCATCATTCGCCGCTCGACCTATGACCTGATATTACTTGTACTTGGCTCCTCAACAATAAAGAGATAAAATCGAGTTTGGTTTCTTAACCTCTACACTGGTGACCCTTGGAGTGAACCAAGTTACACAATGTCAGCCACGCACAAGTCGCTTCCAATCTGCTCTCTGGCCAGCCTTATGGAATGTTTTTTTTTTTCAAGTGGATCAGGAATTCTTCAGGAATATCACCACCCAGACCACCAAATTCCGCATGCTGGTCACTAACCTCCCGCCAGAACTCCTGACTGTCGGCGACCTCCATATCGGTACACCACTTACGACGAGCTTAAGGAGGCCATTCTTAGGCGAGCAGCACCTAACCCTCTGACCGCATTAAGCTGCTTCCTCTCGTCTGACACCGTGGACAGCCGTACCCCCACAGAAATTCTTCACCACTTCCAGCGCCTCCTCACCCGCACCAGCACGACGCTCCCACCAGATGTCATGCGCTCCTTCTTCCTCAAGCAGCTGCCCGCTGATATCCAGCAAATCCTGCTGGTGTTAGACGCCCCATTGGAGCAACTTGCCCAAAAAACCGACGCGATGCTCGCGGCTAGGGCAACCACACCATCAATAGCAACAGTGTCTGCCGCAACCACTACCTCCGCCGTGATGTTGGGATCCCTTGCAGCCCACATCACCAAGCTATCCAAGGCTGTGCAGAAGATATCCACCCAGGAACGCTCTCACTTCCGGCCTCACTTTCGCACCCCTTTGCCGCCACACAGTGAACGGGACTTCAGGCGCTCTCTACTGCCCAACCACCAGCCTCGCTTCCGTGTTCCTTCACCGCCGTACAAAGTTTGAAGGGTACCGCGGAACCTGGGCGCGCCTGTCTTTCGCGGACCTCGAAGGCATTTATTGTATATCCGAGATGCTTCCTCTTCCATACGTTTCCTCGTCGACACAGGGGCCGAGGTCAACCTCCTCCTGGCCTCTTACAGTGATAAACGCTTTCCCTCCTCTCACACTCTGGAAGCTGCCAACACATCGCCCATCAACACCTACGGCGAGCGTTCGAGGACCCTCTCGCTGGAAGGTGAGCCCGCCCAACGATTCCAGTGGATCTTGCTCGTCGCCGACGTCCCTCAACCCATCATCGGCGCCAACTTCTTGGCACACTATGGTCTGACGGTCGATCTGACGGCTGATCCACCAATCCGGGGCCCGCATGCACGCTGCTGCAGGGCTGGTAAGTACTCCCTTAACATATACAGTGCTTCCCAGGACCTGCGCCTTCAAGAACATCCTGCGAGAATTCCCGGCCCTGACCAAGCTGATCAACTGGTCCACCCAACCACAGTACGAGGTCCGGCACCACATTGTGACCCATGGTCCCCCTGCCCATTCTCGCTGCTGTCCGCTCGCCCCCGACAGATGTTGCAGTGCCAAGGCGGAGTTCGACCACATGATGCAGTTGGGGATCATTCGCCCTTCCAGCAGCCAATGGGCAGCCCCTCTGCATCTGGTGAAGAAGGACGGTGACTGGCGCCCATGCGGGGATTACCGTCACCTCAGCACGATCACCCTGATACCCCCTGCTGCACCTGCACTCCTCCCACGAGCTGTCTGGCTGTACGGTCTTTTCCAGGATCGACCTCGTGCGGGCCTACCATCAAATCCCGATCGCTGAGGAGGACATCCCCAAGACGGCCGTCATTACACCTTTCGGCCTGTTCGAGTTCCTCAGGATGCCCTTGCGTCTCCACAACGCCGATCAGACCTTCCAGCGGTTTATCAACGACATGACTCGCGGCCTTGAGGGGGTTTTCGCCTACATTGACATCCTCTTCGCCAGCGCCTCTTTGGCAGACTGCAAGAGGCGGGGGTCATGATCAACCCGAGAAAGTGTCTCTTCAATGTGGCTTCTCTCTCTTTCCTAGGCCATACTGTAACACCTCAAGGCATCACCCCAGCGCAGAAAGTTACCGCCATGAGGAAGTTCCCCAAGCCCGCAACAGAGAACCAACTGGGGATGTTCAAATTCTACAGGAGATTCGTCCCCAAGTGTGCCCAGCTCTTCCAACCCCTTATCACACCCAACAGGGCCAGCAGAAACACCCAAATAAAATGGACGTCCCTGACCAACGAATTCTTCAAAGTCTGTAAAGAAGCCTTGGCCTCTGCCACCTTGCTCAACCATCCCCTGTCTGAGGCTCCACTCAGCATACCGGTCGACGCCTCCGACACGGCCATCGGTGCGGTCCTCCAGCAATATTGGGGTAAGCAATGGCAACCTCGTGCTTTTTATTCGCAGACTTTGTCGCCACGCCAGTCGCGGTACAGCGCATTTGGTAGGGAGCTCCTGGCAGCTCAATCCGTGGTGAGGCATTTTCAGTCATATGTGGAAGCAAATGATTTCCATATCCTGACTGATCACAAACTCTTCACCTTCGCCCTGCACTCAAGGACCCGCCGCCAATCCCCTCGTGAGGAGCGCCACCTGGATTACATCTCTCAGTTCACTACGGACATCAGACACATCCGGGGCTCCAACAACAAGGCCGCCAACGCTTTGTCAAGGATATCCATATCTGCAGCGACCCTCGCCGGCAACGCTTATACCAACTTCCGGCTCTGCTTTTCACCACCATCCGGGGCTCCAACAACAAGGCCGCCAACGCTTTGTCAAGGATATCCATATCTGCAGCGACCCTCGCCGACAACGCAGTGGATTACCACCGGGTCAGCAGCGAACAGCGCCAGGACGCATCCATGACTCCGCTCATAGAGGGCCAGACTTCCCTTAACCTTGAGAAAGTCAAGATCCCAAACTCCCGCGACGACCTTCTCTGTGATGTCTCCCTCGGCTACCCGCGGCCATACATCCCGCCTTCCCTCCGCCGGCGATTCTTTGACGCATACCACCAGCATTGAGGCATCTGGGCCACCCAACATCTCATCCGCGGCAAAGTCATCTGGCCCGGCATCAACAAAGACGTCCAACAGTGGTGCCGCTTGTGCATTGAATGCCAGAGGACCTACACATACCAAATATCCCCTCCAGACGTTTCCTATTCCAGATGAAAGGTTCCAACACATCCATATCGATATAGTGGGACCCCTGCCCATGGATGATGGTTACAGGTACATCCTGACGATGATCGACCGCTTCACCAGATGGCCTGAGGCCACGCCCATCCGTGACATCACCGTAGCGACGGTCGCCAGGACCTTCCTCAACACCTGGACCTCCCGCTTCGGCACGCCGCACACCGTCACTACCGACCGTGGCGCCCAGTTCGAGTCGGAACTCCGGCGCCAGCTGATGGTATTACTCGGTTCCAAGAGAATCAGGACGACCGTCTACCACCCCTGCGCCAACGGCATGGTCGAGCGACTCCACCGGCATATGAAGCAGGCCATGACATCCTCCTCCTTCAAGAGAAGGTGGGTCGACCAACTCCCCCACATCCTCCTTAACATCCGGACATCCTTCAAAGAGGACCTGCAGTGCACCGCCGCGGAAATGGTCAAAGGAACAATGCTCGCTTTCCCTGCAGATTTCCTTGTCACAGCCAGTAACTTCAAACCAGGGACCTTCGGCAAACAACTCTGCGAATGGATGACCCGGGTACGCAGCCGACCGACGAGACCCACCCGACAACAGGAAATATACATGCTCCCAGGACTCCAGGATTGCTCTCAGGTCTTCGTGAGAAAACATCCCAGACCTCCTTTCTGTCCTTTGTACAAGGGTCCATTCCCGATCATCTGAAGAGGTGACAAGACGATCACCATCTACTGCGCAAAAGGAGAAGACACCGTGACTGTCGACTGCGTCAAACAAGCACACCTGCAGCAGCCCTTCAGGATCACCAAAGTCCGTTTCGCGACCGCGAAATTATAGGGGTAGTGCTGTAGCGGTTCCTGATTGGCCATCAATCCAGAACCGCACCTGACCTGTGATTGGCCGACTCCTGCTTCGGGGCCGCCCATACTGGCCGAGCTTAGATCGCCGGTCAGGTTCTTAAGCAGCCGGACCTGAGCCAGAGTCATCATTCGCCACTCGACCTGTGACCTATTTATTCTTAATGGACCCCCAGGCAGCTGAATCTCTCTTGCTGTTGAGATTCAACTGCCTGGGGGTCCATTAAAAATAAATAATGTATACAGCAAATCACTGTGTGAGAGCTTAGATTTAAACCAGGTGCATGTGCAGAAAAAAATCTGACGGCAAAGAACTCCCAACAATCTGGACCTGTTGAGGGAAGCTGTTGTGGATGCCAAGGAAACTGCCAATAGAGTAAGGCAGGAAAAATGGCTGGAATGGTGCCAGTCTTTTGGAAACCAGATCAGCCTTACAGAGTTGCGGAAACGGGTCAGGCAAGCGACAAGCCGCCAAGCCCCGAAATGCACTAATCATGATCCACAGTCAGAGGCTAACAGATTGGTGCTTGAGTTCTCAGCTAGAACCAGCAACAACAACCTGCCTCCAGTGATGAGAGAAAAACAACAAAACTTATATCCAGGAAGACTTGCTCTCATCAGAGACAAGGCACTCGAATCCGATGACGCAGATGCCTTGTTCTCTTTTGGGGAACTAAGAAAGTCATACAAAACCAGCTCTGGATCAGCACCGGGATCTGATGGGATCTCCCACCCCATCATTTCGCATTTAGGTCTGGCAGGAGAACTTGCATTCTTGCAGGTTATCAACAAAACCTGGCAAACCGCCACGGTGCCCCAGAGCTGGAAAAAAGCCACAATAGTTCCCATCCCAAAACCAAAGGAGCATGGCAAGTACCGTCCCATCTCTCTTCTCAGCTGCCTGGGTAAAACAGCTGAGAAGATGGTACTCAACAGGCTCCAATGGAAGACGGGACCCCCTTATGAACACCTGCACGGGTTCACAAGGGGTAAGAGCACTGCACACAGCATTTCCACACTCTTAAGCACAATTTGCACCTCACCCGCCGTGGTTGTCTTCCTACACCTGGAGAAGGCTTTTGAATTGGCAAGCCTGCTTGCCATTCAAGAGACCCTAATCCACAAAGGAGTGAAAGGCAGACTCTTGGCCTGGATAGCTGATTATTTTAAAAATAGATCAGCAAATGTCAGATTTCAATGCCACCTCTCACAGCACATACCACTTGAAAATGGAACTCCTCAGGGAGGGCTTCTCAGTCCAACCCTGTTCATGTCCAACATACTCGACATTCACCTGCCAGAGGGATGCAGGATCATCTCTAATGCTGATGATTTGGCAATCATAACCTCTGGCAATCACTGTCTAACTAGAGCTCAGCTTTGTCTGAAACTGGTGTCTGAAAATCAAAGCAATGGCTCTAAGAACT